TAGCGAGCATGCGCAATTGCAACAGCAATGACTCATCCTAGATAAAGTGCTCGATTTGGACATGAAAGCAAAGCTTTGTATGCCAAAGAGCTATATCTAACTGCAGACAGTATAATATAAAATATTAAAATAAAATGTTAATAAATGTTACTAAAATGTTATGACTTTAGAAATTTCTCTGTTGTTCACCTCTGAAATTATACTAAAAAAGTTATTCGCCTCAGGTTCGGTGAATATTGTTGAATAATCCCCTCGACTTCGTCTCGGGGATTATTCGACGATATTCACCTCGCCTTCGGCGAATAATTTTTAAATATAACACAGTTTGTTCTCCATTTATAGGACTTTGTTACTTGCGAAATCCTCTCTAAACACAATGCACTTCTTTCAGTTATGTTACAATGCTTAACACGACCAACAAACATTATTAAGTGAAATAAAGGAAGTAATAATTAACCAAACTTGATAAGATATCATGAGGTCACTCCCTAGTTGCAAAGAAATCAAGATTTAATTTCTTGCTTTGATAAAATCGGGAGTTCCTAATGTTGTCTTAGATGAGCGTTGTGATGTTTTGATGTCAGTTCTTACGAGAAATTTCCAAAATATACCAACGAAAAGAAAAGGCTTGAATTAAGTGTTTGCAATTACAATCGGCAGCTGTGGGATCCGCATACCTAGGGCTTCAATTCTAGTACCAATTTTGACGTCGCTTTACAAATCTTGTTGCTCTTTGTATTTTGTAGATCTTGATCCTTGCATCAATGTCTCTTGTAACTATTTTGCTGTCTGCAAGGCATTTGGACCCAAAGACGCCAGGTGCATATGCGTGGAGAATTGTCCATCGTACGACGAGCCTGTGTGTTCATCCAATGGAACCACCTACGACAACGAGTGCATTTTTCAGAGAGAAATGTGCCGCTTAAAGGCTAATTTTACCCTGTATCATCCGGCTGATTGTACAGGTAATTCCAGTTGAAGTGAAGACTATCTCTCCATTTGAAAGCAGATTTTAAGGCGATAAACAGAGAGAAATATTACAGCGCATACTAGTTTCAAAAGTGAAACAATTTGACAACGGTTAATAAAATGAAGTTTTCAAAACAGTTAACAAACAGTTTTGGTTGTCAAATATTGAATTTACCAATGCGAAAACATTCTATAGACTCTATCTTCAAGCTTCTATTAATTTTTTGTATTTTCTATTGGCACCTTTTTCACGTCCTTGAATAGTTTTAATTTCTTCCCTATAGGTTTCCCTTCACAAAAAGGTCGTCATCGTCTTCGCCATCACCCAAGCTGGGCTGAGGCAGTTTGTGAACAGGTCCCACTGGTTCCTTATGTCTTCTATCCTGACAAACCTGTTCACATACAAGTATCTGTTAATCACAACAACTTCTCGGATCCCTCCTATGTCCACGAGGCTGTTGTGGCCTGGGTCGAGGATATAATGGAAAACAATTTTACGGTTTGTGTCACTCAGGCTGGGAGAAATGAGAAGAAAAATGGAAAGACATTCGCGTCAGTTGACTGGTTAGCATACCAGGGGGCCCCTGACGGGGGAGTGTCGGGTGAAATGGACATGCCGACGTGGTGGACTGGAACGAGCTGCCGTAGAGTTTCGCTGCCTCCGGTTAGTTGGCTACTCCTTGCAATAATGATTTCTTTTTTATTTTAGCTGTCTATTGGCGCCTTTTTTTTAATCATTTAGAATCGCAGTATTAAAGACGATATAGTCATAGAATCCGAAACTCTATCCGAGAAAAATATCAACTAGCCCATATTCTGTAAAACTTAAAACTAACTTCTAAACTAGCTGCTCTACCTGCTTCGTCGAGGAACCCTCACTGGTATACACCGATTAAATAAGAAAGAAAACCAAGCAAACAAACCTATGTATGTGTTAATCCTGAATCAATGTTTCTGCAGAAAAAGTTTAAATCAATTCCAACCGTCTTTGTGACGACTGACCATGAAAGGCGGGGAGTGAAGCACGATGCGTCTACTGTCTGGGTGGAAGATTTGACGACAACTTCCTTCAAGATCTGTGTCAGGGAGTTACAGAACTTTGATGGAGCTCACGAAAGTATCCATGTAGTAAGCAATTTCGGGCTTTTCACGAAGTTGCATCATGTTTCATAATTTTAGGAAATCCTTTCTTTCAGCTTTTTCATTTTTCTTAAAGGTTTGTTGAAAATTTATTCAACCACGATGTCGAGCTTATTTTCTGCCTTTCTCTTATTTGTAATTATTCCTAAATCAAAGATGAATTTGTTCACTTATTACCTGGTTTTGCCTTTGTTTTTGTAAAAGGACTGGATGGCATTTGAAGAGCTTCATCAACCCTTGTTTATGGAGCATGGCTCATTATACTTTGAAAACGGGAAAAATCCATCCAAAGAGTTTAACTATGCTTTTTGTGAGGTATGTTTGGTTAACATGACTTATACTGACACTTTTTCGATTGTACTCTCTCAACAATTTCACTTACTTACACAGGATGCACACACCCACTCACTCAATTGTGAACTCACCTACTGAATCATGAACTTAGTCACTCACTCACTCACTCAAGCGTTCAATCGAACACTTACCCACTCACTCACTCATTCACTCACTCACTCAGTCGCATACACGCACACTCAATCACCCACTCACTTACTCACTGCTGATCACTAACCCACTCACTTACTCACTCAATCGGCCAATCACTATTTTATCTTTTAACGCCTTTTCATGACCTGTTTACTTGAATTTGACATGAAACATACCCACCAACCCACGAGCTATCTCTTAGGCTTTTTTCCATTATGAAGTTCACGAAAGCCATCCACCTGATATACAAAATAAGTGCCGCAGGGCAGAGTAACTCAGTGTGTTTGCTCATTTCAGTTTCAATGCTCTCTTGTGATCATTCATTTCTTTTTCAAAAGAAAAGGATTTTTCAGAAACATAAAGGTATTACTAGGTGCATTCTTAGCTACTTTGTGTTCCAAGTATATCTTTTTGTTTTTTTTTTGTTCTTTTAATTGTTTTGATTAGGATGTTGTTTTTAAGAAGCCCTACAACGACTCCCCAGCCATTCTGGTATCTGCCAACCACTCAACAAATGGAGGAAACCTTAATCCACTGTATAACTCCATATCAGCCTGGGCTGAAGTAAGTAATGTCTAAGTAGTGCTGAAAATGAGCATACCTTGATGTGACGTGGTTGTAAAAGGATATCAGTTTTGGAAGTTGACTTTTAGACAAGACAAGACAAGACAAGAAAAGGTTTATTTGAACTGTAAAATTACCTCAGTTACAGATTAAACGAGAAATAAGTTAAAAATACATACAGTTGCTGGGCACTCAAAATAACTAAAGAGCTAAACTTTACTCTTTCAAAAATTCGCTTTGTTTCTGTAGGACGTCTTTCTTCTTACTGCTATCTAATTATGATCTTCTCAGCCGTTAGACTGCATTCCTCCTTTGCCTTTGTAGTATATCAACAAGACTGGCTTCAGAGCATGCGTGAAAGAGTTATTTGTGAACCAACATGATCCTCTCTCAGTTTCATATGCAGTTATGCCAGGTTAGATATATCACGATGATTTCATACAAATCTTTTAGGGATCATCAGATCTTGACTCAAATTTTGCCTTAACATGGATTGCTGTTTTGCACTTGAGGTGAAATCTGATGTTTAAAGTATGGGATGACGCTTATAAAGAGACATTTACTAGCTTGTCTGAAAATATCACTGTCAATTGTTTCATCAAACGACTGATATCGATAGCGATCAAGAGAATAACGAAAAACTTACATTTACCTTTGATTTAGCAACCACGATGAACTGCAAACAATTCTTTCAAACAATGATATTTCTTACCAAATCTTTTTCCCGTTGTTGAATGTTTCAAGCTCAAACGATCGCTCTGTTGTTTCTCTATCTATTTAAGATGTATGTGAGCCAGGCTGGAGTTTCTACAATGGCTCCTGTTACTATACTAGTGATACTTGTGAAACCTGGTCCAAAGCCAGTAGAATATGCCGGAGCATGGGTGCTAATCTACCAGCTATTGAAAGTCAGGAGGAGAATGTCTACATTCAACACAGACACAATGGCGAAAAGGCCTGGATCGGTTTGAATGACATTGCTACAGAGGGATTATTCACCTGGGCGGATGGGTGTCCTGATAAATTCCGCTACTGGGCAGAGAACCAACCAAATGACTTTCGGGGGGAGGACTGCGTACACACTCTTGGTCCTAGTCATGGATACATGTGGAATGACGTGGATTGTTCTGCCTGTCATCAGTATACTTGCAAAAGAGGTTTTAATTATTATGTTTTAATATATTTAAAAGTATATCTGTCATGATAATTGAGCAAACTTTCACCAAACAATCAAATGCAAGCAGAGGTTAGCATCAGTGAGGTATAAAGTCTGAAATCGCAGGTTTTGGCCCCGACCTATATTGTCGTAAATCTAAAGCGTTCTATCAAAAATGGCACAACTTTGTTAACTACACCACTCGCTTACCATTCCTTGATGAACAGTGGTAATACGAATAGCCTAACACAAAGAGGCAGCGGAAAACAAACAAAATAAAAAAAAAATTAGCCTGTCTTGAGAGGTTTCGAAGGACGAGTACATTTACACTTAAACAACTTCATAAAATATTCAAGATGTTACGCGCGCTCTCATTAGTCATTAGGTCTGTTTAGATGAGAGTAAGGAAACATAGTTGGGGCGTCACACTTTCGTCTGTCGAATTAGTTTTGAAAAATATTTTATAGCCCCATCTAAACATGGAGGGGGATAGGGGAATTCTCGTATAAGTTATGCAAATCCGAGACGCAGTCGTGGGTTTGCATAACTTTCTGAATACTCTCAACACCCATCGTGTTTAAATTGGGCTAATTTAATAATTATGTAATTTAAAACAGAATCGCATGATCGAATAAAATCTTACATTTTGAATGGTTAACGAAACGAGGTATTTGGAGTGGAATTGCGAGTTCAACACGAGGCTAAGTGATATTGTTTCGCATCTACTTAAACATAACAACTATCGTCAAATTGTAACACCACGACTGCAAAAACGTTTTCCTAAAATGTCATTGTAAAATATTTTCAAAACCATTGTCACCTTTTAAAGAGCAAAACACAAACAAAAGCGATTTTCAAAGTGAGCCGGAGGTATTTTTTACTTTCAAACGGCTTTCTAGAGCGCGCTTTGGATGAAACAACCAACCAGATTTACTGTTTCCTTTTTTATCTTATTTTTATTCAATTATGCGATTCAAGGAAAATCCATTACCCGACTCGCGAATTCCAAATTCTGTGAAAACCGGTATCGCGCTCATCGCTTCGCGATTCGTGCTATATCGGTTTTCGCGTGCAATTTAACGCGGAATTCCTTCGTCAGGTAATAAATTTTTTTATCGAGAAAGTCCTCTGTTGCTTACAGATTCCTCACTCTCGACATCTGTGCTTGATAGAAACCTCGAGCTCATTATCATTATGTTGCTTACATTATGTTGCTGTGAAGGTGTAGTCTGATCGTCCGGGTGAGTGTAGTCCTGAGAAGGACTGTTGTCGGTGGCAGTGACTGACGTTTCGACAACCTGTGCGGAAGTCATCATCAGAGTCAAGTGAGTGATTGTTGTCAGTAGAATGTTCTTATTCCAGTTCGTGTGAAATGATCGGTTGGTTTTGCCGTGATGTTATTGGCTGTAAGACTCAAGTGACGTAAGTCGTTCGTGATTGGTCTGTTTCGGTCTGTCGGTAAAGCTAGGTTGTTCTTTTTCGGTCGTTTGTGATGTTTATGTCGTGAATGAGTCGTTTGTATGGGGCGGGTAGTTGTTGACATCTGTTTAGGGGAGTCTGTTCTAAGTTAGTAAACCAGCTTTCCAGAGTCAGTCGTTGAAAATAGTCAGTGCTGTAGGTTAGGCATTGCGCAGAGTCCCAGTCAATGTTGTGGTTGGTAAGTCGATGGTGTTCAGCAATGTGATTGCTGACATCACCTTTCCTCGTCGCCCGTCTGTGTTCAGTCAGTCTTGTTGTGAGGTTTCTGCCAGTCTCACCGATGTAGGAGGCTTGGCAGTCGGAACAATTGATCTTATAAATCGTTCCCTGTCTGTTCCTCGGTTCGTCTTTGTCTTTAACGTTGGTTAGTAACTGACGTAGTGTGGTGATGGGTTTGTGGGCGACGCGGATATTGAAGGGTAGTAAGATGCGCGAGATGTTTTCAGACATGCCTTTTATGTACGGTATGGTTGCTGTAGTCGTAGGGGTTGCGGTGTCGTTTGTTTCGGTAGTGGTAGTGGGTCGGTGAGTGTTTCGTCGGATGAAGTCGTTGTTGTAGTTGTTCTTCGTAAAAACACGGTGAAGGTATTTGTTCTCGTCGGATAAGCTGTCTGTCGAGTC